TTTTAACAAAACCATTATACCCTGATTTCCCATTTTCAATGCGTTCAGGGTATAACAACACATTTCTTCAAACTCGAATGGTTATCAATGGCAGAATTAATTAATACTGATTACAAAATTCACTATTAGCTCCTTTCATCGAAATTGGCTCGGTTATTGTGCCAGCTGTTGATTCATATAACAAATATGTATACACATATATAAGACATCAGCTGCAGCTGCCTCTACCAATTGAGCAAGCGAAGGGAAGTTTTAAACAAAAAACTAATAGCGCACCAAAATGCCAAACGAGTCGTTTGCTTATTGGCAATTTCGATTGTATAGCCTGAAAGTATGCAACATATTTAGCTCACAGTTGCTGGCGCCGCTGCCGGTCTGCTAGCGTCGACGCAAGCGCATATTCTGACTGCAGTTAATTACAAAACTGTCAAATCCAAAAGGTGCCACGAATCAACGGGCCAACGAAAACGAATGAACCAGAGCCAAACAAACAAACAGGGTAAGCTTCACACACACACACACAAACAAACAGAATCGCGCACATACACACAGGCAACGGCATGCCAACAGCAGCAGCCAGTCAGACATTTCAAATACACTCGCACGCACACATACATATGTACACACATCGGGAGCAAATAGGCAGATCAGCCAACAGCTGCCAGCGTAAGCGAAAGCTCACAATAAAAACAAAAAGCCAACAAAACAATAAGGGAAGCCTCAATCAGTAATACCCGACTAACAGTTACCCTATGTTTCGTCCGATCTGGATTTTTTCAAATACTGCATATTCTTGAAGATGCCGGATTGGAAAAATTAATGTAAAGCTATGACCTAATTAAGAATTAATCAATTCAACTTTTATTGAACAACTGTTAATATGGAAATGGGACAAACATGTACGAGAATATCAATAACGGAGTTTTTTATGGCCAAGAGTAAAAGAGACGTAGCTATACATACTTTTGTTTTAACAACCTCTATCTTAGCATGGAATACAGGGACGCACGTACATATCTACTGGTTACGTCGACAAATCATCTCGTTAACCTGATGAATAAAATATATATATTAAAATTTAGGGTATTTAGCAAAACCAATATACTTTGATTACAAAAGCAACTAAAGGCCACAGGCTGAGGCAGTTGCATTGTACGAACTTTCAGATGTCTGTGCATGTGGGTTTGTGTGTGCATGTGTTCGTGTTTGTGAGTGTGTGTGTGCGGAATATAATTTTGCTGTATTGTTGTATTAAATGATGTCAACAACAGCCGCCCAGCTGAGCTCGAATCGCAGTCAGCGTCAACTTCGAAGCCTGAGTCAAATCGAATTTAATTGCAATGCCGCACGTTGGCTTTTAATTAATTTTTACTGGGCAACTACTGCTGCAACACAGTTCTGCTCAGCTCTGCGGCTGCACCTGCAATTGAAGCGAAAGCCCACAACTAAGCAAACCAACAGCAAACAGCAGAGAGGAGGCCGACATTCAGCAGTCGAAGCTCTGACAGGGCAACATCAAACGTCACGCACAGGTGCAATGTAATTAGCACGAACCGACAAAGCGACCGAGCAGCAGATTCCAGCAGTAACAACAACAATAACAGCAGCAGCAGCAGCAGCAGCAGCATCGGCAGCGAAAAGGACAAAGGGAAAAGGGCGTCGGCTGGGAGACTGGGCGCCATATAAAAACAAAAACAAGCAAAATCTTTAAGCCCAAATGCATATAAGCAACCGAACCAGGCAACAAATCGAATGTGGGATACTCTTTGTATTGAAATTTATTAAGAGTAACAGAATCTGCTTGCTCAGCTCCCGTAAGTAAGTTCATCAGATTACTCGAAATTTCTTTTCAAGCTGAATGACTATAGAACTGTAATTATTTATTGTTTATTTCGATTTGCGTTACGAGTGTCAAAATTTTTTAAATATCGTATCGATGATATATTAAGTTTTCAAAAATATCAACATTATATGTTATATGCAACTGTAAAAAAATAAACGCGTTCTATTGTATGATTATCCGTCAACACCTATTATTGCCGAAGCAAGTTACTACGAGGACACTGAGCACACAAGTATATCAATAAATCGCAAATAATATTCGATGATTGGGCAAACAAAATTCCCGATTCATATTAAGATATATTGTCAAGAACACTAACATGCACGTCGTGCAGCATTTAAAGGGTGAGCTCAGGATAAATAATTGATAACTACTTATACTTCATAAAAATTAATTAAAAACAAGTAAGAAAGCTTTAGCCGAGACTGCTCGACTAGGAGATTCCCAGAAAACATGCACACACGCATACAAACAAAAACAAGAACACACACACACACGCACTTATACAGGCGATTGCGCTTGGGTTTTGCTCCAGTGAGGGCAATATTATGAGAACTTATATGTTGAATAATTTAATTTCTGAGACTGCTCGACTACGAGATCGCCTAGTAACTGATATTTCGAGTAACTGATATTTCAATAACTATTCTCTCATGCATACATACACGTACACACACATACGTACGTACGCATAAACATGCATTGGCTTAGTGTGGGCTTGCTAAGGGAACTTAATTGATTAATAACTTTTCTTGAGGATGGACTATACTCATGAAACTTTCAGATTGTGATTATATTATTTTAATGCATTTAGTTGCCAAATCACAGTTCTCTAGTATTTGAAATACGCCTCTTACAAATGTGAGGGTGTAGGGGTGGAAATAAGGGTGGGGGTAAGTTTTAACAAAACAAACATGTTATTAAAAATTTTAATTCTAAATTTTTTTGAGAAAACAGAGGGATCAGGGTATCTCCTAGTACGAAAAATATGAAATATCTTAAAAGTGCACGAAATACTTGATAAATGTAAAGGACTGCAGGAGTAAACAGAACTCGTTGTCAAGTGCGTTGCAGAAGCAATGCGAGTATAATAGTCCATATACCCCTTGGATTGTTGGCTCGCAACAAGTACAATTTCCCGTTTGGTCGTTGCTTGGCTCGTAGCTTTTAATAGCTTTGAAATTCCAATGGCAGCTGTGGCACCACCCACCCACCCGACGCCCGAAACGAGCAAAAAAATGTCGAGAAATGGAGAAAAAAAATGAACGAGCAAGAAAGCTGAATAGAGGGAAATGGTAGGTTGGGAGGGGGAGGAGCGGTGCGCGAAGCAGGCGTTGGTGGTAGAGTCGTCGAACATTTCGAAAAATTATTGGAGATTTTTTAATTTTTCTCCTTAAAAGCGCGAAGAACGCGACGCTGTAGCAAGAACAGCAACAACAACAACAAAAGCATCAATAACAGCTGTTGTTGTTTTTATTGATATTAGGTATGCATGCAGCCAGCCAGCAGCAACTGCCATTTTGTTTATGACGGCGACGATGCAGCCAGCTGAGGAAGTACGCACCATGGTCCATGGCATGGGGCCAGGGCGGGGGCGAGGACTCTTACTGTTGCTGTTGTTGATGCTGATGCTGATGCTGTAGTTGGTGTTCGTGTTTGTGTTTGTGTCGGTGTTGGTGCTCATGCTATGCCACGTCGGTGACAAAACTGTGCCTTTTGTGGCATTTGCAGCTGCACCGGCGGCTACAGCTTTCCCCCTTCACCCCTTCGCTGAGAGCGCCCTGCCTGCCAATACAACTTTATGCGCCTTCTTGACGCTCTCATTGGCGAAAATAAGTTTGTTGTGCGTTGCACATTCGCAGATTGTTGATAGGGTAATTGATAGTCGGTAAGCGTCACAATTAGAGTACATAGGCTGATGCTTCATGAAATGTGAATTCAAACAAGTAAATTTAGAGACGGCGAAAGAGACGACTTAATATTCCGACTCTTAAATATAAACATATATACTGTCACCCTATCATAGGACGATGAGTGTGAGTGTACAAATTTAAGTAATCTATAAATCGATATTTACTTAAATTGGCCCAGGAATTCTTGTACTGTGTTAATGCATTGTTTTGACACATGTATCATCGCAGAAGGCGCTGGTAATACCTATCCTTATCTTATTGGAATAGCTCTGATAAAAGTTAATCATGATCGTCGCAGGTCTCTTTGGCGGCAACCGTAGCGAGATGCTTCTCTCTTTAGGTTTAACAACACTAAAAATGATGCGCAAGGCCATGATATTTTACGAGGATGCCGAACTTAAGCTCTGCCATCACTGGCACGAACACCCCCACATCCCCCCCCCCCTTCCCCCCGGGTAGCCCTCTTGGCAGCCCCTGACTGGCAACCAATTTCATAGAAGTACGGCGGCTTTGGTTGGAATTTCTTCGTTTTTTATGATTGCCTGCCACAACTTTTTCGCCATCGATATTGGCGGCAGCGATGTTTGCGGCTGCAACTTTGGCAGCGCTGCCTGCGGTTGCAACTTCAACTAGCATCAGCAACAGCAACAGCAGCAACAATACCAATAGAAACTTCGAATGCAGCTGGTTTGCTGTTGTTGTTTGTATGGATTTCGCACATCGTTTATCTTAGAGGACGGCAAACGTTGCTGGCTTTGGACTCGCCGTTGTTGCGTCGCAGCTGGCGATAGCGACCGGAAATGGCGTTAATGTTGCAACTGTAGCAGCAACAGCAGCAACAGCAGCAACAACCATAAGAGCCACAGCAGCTGCCAATGAACAAGAACTTAATCTTGGGGATTTAACACTTTCGATATATCTTGGCCGGCGCTGGCGGTGGCGCTGGCGCTGTCTTGTGTGCTGCGGCTCTTAGTCGCTGGCGCCCCACCACGGCACCGGACGCCCCACCAAGTTGCAGCCAGCGGAAATTATTGGCAGCCATTATCGGCTCAGTTGCCATTTTTATGGCCAAGTTATGGGAATGAAACGCGCTCGGCTATGGCTAAGGTTTCATCAGTCGTTTCCTTAAATGTTAAAATACATTTTCGAGTAACTGTTTGCCTGTACAGATATGAGTGGGTGTGCGTGCGAGCTAGAACAAGCTTAAGGCTAAGTGAGCGAGTCGGCGCTCCGTCTCCTTCTGGAGCCCCTCAGAGCCCTGCAGTGCCGGACTGCAGCAACGCATACTGCTCCCTATTGAGCTGCCGGTAGATCCCATCGCGATTAAGAAAGTAGATGGGGTCCCTAATTAGCTCCGGGTTGTAGCCCTCCAGTGCGAGCTCCCGCTTCTTGAGCTTGAAGGTGGCCGTGCGGGGTATTTCGTCCAGGAGCCGAATGAATAGCGGCCGCGCATAGGGCGGCAAGCTTCCTCGAATTCCAATGGAAAGGTATTCCATGTCGACTTTTCTCAACGGATCCACAATCGCCGCCATGCCGGCCTTGCCCTCCACATGCGGTATCTGCAATAGGAAATCGGGTTAGAATTTGAATTGATGAAACTTATTTAATTAATCTGAAGTCAAAATGCCTTCTATTTGGCTAAATTAGTAGCTCTTAAGAAGTCTTTTGGCCATACTTCTCTCAGAGTGTTTATTCGTCTTATTTATAGATGGCATTTGGCCACCCAATTTTAGGTTGCTTCTCTTCCTTACCTGCACGCCGTAGACCACGCAGTCGCTGAGCCCGATGCAGTTGGTGATGATAGCCTCCACCTCTTGGGTGGCCACGTTTTCGCCCCGCCAGCGAAAGGTATCGCCGGTGCGATCCTTGAAGTAAAAATAGCCCAGTATGTCGCAGACGACCATGTCGCCCGAGTTGAAGTAGCAATCGCCCGGTTTGAAGACTCCGCGCAATAACTTCTGCTCGGAGGCCGTCTTGTCCGCGTAGCCGTGGAAGGCGCTTATCGCCCGCCGCGCGTTAACCTGGCCCACCAGCAGACCAACCTCGCCGGGGGTACAGCGCATGCAGTGGCCTTTGGCGTTTCGCAGCGGCTCGCCCGTGAGCTCGTCGCAGCGGAGTATTTGCACTGGATAGAGGCTGCGCCCGAAGACGGGGACAAAGCCGATGGCACCAATGCGGTTAGTGATGTTGATCAAGTTGGAGTTGCCCTCGGTGGCGCCGTAGATCTCGCCGATGTGGGGGATGCCGAAGCGAGTGACGAACTGCGCCCAGATCTGTGGCCGCAGCCCGTTTCCGTACATGAGGCGCAGCTGGTGCAGCGGTTCCTGCGGGGCGTGCTTGTAGGGCGTTGCGAGGAGGTAGCGGCAGAGCTCGCCAATGTACTGGGCGACTGTGCAGTTGTACTGGCTGCAGTCGCTCCAGAAATTTGAGGCGGAGAACTTCTTGCGCAGCACCACGGTGCAGCCATTAAGCAGGGCATTACCGACGCCCACGATTCCGCCGGCAGTGTGGTAGAGTGGTAGAGGATTGTATATCACGTCGTCGGAATTCATCCGAAGCATATAAAATGCGCCCGCCGACATTAACAGAAACCTCAGGTTTGTAATGACCGCCGCCTTGGGTAGGCCCGTGGTGCCGGACGTGTAGACGTAGAGCAGCTTATCCCGGGCGTTGCACTGCGGGCTACGACTCAGAGGCAGCGGCTCCTGTGCGGTCAGGGCGCCTCTCAGGTCAGTTGCGCCTGGCAGTAGGGCAGGCAGGTCCACATCCGAGTACTGATAGATGGACAGCTCCAAGATGGGCAGCGACTGCAGGACGTCACTTAGCTCGCAGCCCACGATGAGGGCGCAGGCCTTGGAAACGCGGATGCAGTGCAGCAGAGAGTCGCCGCGCAGATTCGAGTTGATCAGCGCCGTGACGACGCCCAGCTGGCTGAGACCCAGCCAGATGCACGGGTATTCCACGCGGGTCTCCATCAGCAACGCTACGCAGTCGCCGCGCTGCAGGCCGCGCTGCTGGAAGTAGCCCGCCACCTGCTCACTAAGTCGCAAAGCCTGCGCGAAGCTCAGCTGACGATCGCCCATCAGAAAGCATATCTTTTCCGGATGCTTGAATGCCTGCTCCTGGAAGCAATGTGCCACGGTACATCCCTTGCGATCCTTGCGTAGCAGGTAAAAGTTAAGGGCAACAAAGCGTTGAAATGCGCTGAAAAGTCAAGGAAAGCCAATTAGGTATTCTAAATCAAAATATTGTATTAGAGATTTATTCTTTTTCCTTCCTTATTCTTTTCTCAGAGAATAATTTAATAAAATATCGAATACCAACTTTAAACACTATGGCTTGGAACGCAAACAGTGAAACTGCGGCACAGCGAACGATGTATACATGCATGCATACATATATATATCTATAAATAGTTCATTAATCAAATTTATAAAAACTGAAATTATTCGGTTTTTATAAACTTGATTAATATATATATATATATATTTAAGTCAAGTCTACATTCATATCGATTTATTAAATATATGTGTATGTGTATAGATGTTTATATCATATATAGTGTTCTAATCTAATCCACGCAGCAGTTCCACACTATCTAACTGCCGTGTAAAAGCTTTCACTGGGTCACAATCACAATTTGATACACGTTTCGCAAGAAATTTAGGGATCTACATTTACTCACATGATATCCCTGTGACAGGTCATTACGAAAGCAAAAATATTAGTGGGATTGCGCAGCATTAGGGCCAAGAGGGCGCCCAGCGTTAGGCTAGCCAACGCGCTGTCGCTGCAGAAGAGCCCAAAGACGATTAATCCTGCCAGCAGAATGCCCAATCGTGTGGCCAGCTTCTGTTTTAAATTAAGTTCGAGCAATATCTCCATTGCCTTTCCCTCCTCCTTAGGATCACGATGCGTTTCACACTCGCTCACTTGTCAAAGATATATTTCATTATTAAATAATATGTAAATATATTAACTGGCAGTTTTTCAAAATCTAACTCGATATCGTCACGAGAGTCGTACTCCTCTTTGCAACGCTCGACTGATACTGAGTGAGCAACCTGTGTTTCTCAAGCACACTAACTCTCTCCCTCTTGTTCGCCTTCTCACCCTTCCCCTCTCTTACTCACTATCGCATATATGCACTCATGTGTCTAGCCCGGCTTTTATCGGACTGGGCTGCCCTGATATAGTTTATTGCCAAACATTACAGATATGTAGGGAACTCGCTATGAACATTAAGATTAACTAACAAGCTCTAGATACTGTCGATGAGAGACCCACTGATTTCTAGGTGGGGTTTCCAAAAGCAAGTAAGAAGCTAATAAAAATAGACCTGTCGCTAAGAATGTGTGAGTTTCGAGTGTTAAAATCTATAAGCACTACAGTTAAGCAAACTTATATCTAACAATAATATAAGTTTTTTAGTATTAATATAGCCCTAATGTATTCAAATTGAAAACAAGTAAGAACGTTGCAGTCGGACTTTACCGACTGCTGAATACTCATTCACACCCCATCAGAAATTTAGTAGCTAAGTTTTGCTGTAATACTGTAGAAGATTCTGTTTTTGTCGATTTGCTACGCCCCTACTACAATAAAACCCGAAGAAATGTAGAATGCATCGTAGAGCTTCTATTGCAATCATTAAGCGATTCTTCTATACATACATATGTATTTACATATGGACTTAGGTACACTCATGCACTCATGCACTCACATGACTCTATTATGAACAAGTAATATCGTTGCAGGCGGGCGTTACCACTCATTCACAGCCCATCAGCAATTTACTAGATAAATATAGCTCTAATACTAGAGAAAACTCCGGTTTGCCCGATTTGTTATGTGAGTGAATGAGTGTATCTAAGGCCATATGTATATACATATGTATTTTTGACAGCTTTTAGAATGAGCTAACGGTAAACTTACTGCAAAATTTGAATATTACGCTCCAAAAATGTGAAAATTACAGGCTGTTTTTCGATATGCGACGCTCTTGAAGAGGCGTAATAAATATTTTTGGGTTATCGATAGAGAAGGTTACTGGTAAAATTTTGTGGTTTGCCCCTGTGGTCGGACATATGTATATTCGTCGAAACTTTTTGGTCTTGGGTGTTCAGCTCGAGTATATGTTCAAAATTTGAGGTCTCTGGCGTCAATAGTGTCCAAAATATAGCAGAAGTTGAAAAATCACTATATCTTCATGTCCGATTTGCCACGCCCATAGTGGGCATAGACATAATCTATATAGAAGCATAACTTACATAGATTACGAGCAAAATTTCAGCGTTCTATGTGTAAAACTCAAGGAGATACAGTTTTATCCCTTTTGACACAACCCCAATAGGCGTAGATTTATCCGCCATGGCCCATGAATTTGGATGGTCGACGCGGATCTACATTCCAAATTTCAGCATTCTAGCTCTTGAACTAACATAATTTCTGGCATAGTCGGACATTGAACAAAACCAATATACTAATTCAATTTCGTGAATGAGTATAAAATAATTCACTTTAGTGAATGAGTATAAAAAAAAAACAGATGCATGTATATGTGTGGATTTACTTTTTAATAACATGGAAGAAAGGCTTATCAAAGGACTTAGCAATCGCAAAGCGATTTGTTCATGTATGACCTAATAGAAATTACTGATTATTAAACTTATCAGTTGTTTAATTAAGAATCGTTCAAGGGTAAAGGATGTCGGCGACAGAGGTGACAACAATAGCCACAATAAGAGACAAAATCAAACCATATAAACAAGCAAGAGGCGCCTCACAAAGTTCATTGCTACTGCGAAGAGGCCAGATATGGAAGAGCCCGCACAGTGGGCCACATTTATATTTCATTATACCCTAAACCCATTGAAAATGGGAAATCAGGGTATAATGGTTTTGTTGAAATGTATGTAAC